CTTTTGCCCTTTGTATGGCTTCCTTGCTGAAACAGCTGTGGCAGAAGGTAGAGCATAATGTATCATTCAGCCTGCTGTCAGCGTTTTCCTGAATATTTAAGTAGCTCCTGTTTAGGTAGGAGCTCAGATATGAGCAGGGGTGCTGAACAGACAGAATGCCTCTTTGTGCAGCATGGCCCGAAATGAGGTGACAGCACGTTTGGGCTGCCGTCTCCTCTCCATTATTTTATATCAGGATCTGGTAATGCATACATTGAGAGTTCTGTAAGTGAACAGTGACAACAGCAAAGCAACTGAAATGCTAGTATACTCCATTTATAATATGTATAGCTAGTGAAATAGCCAGATATGTCCAAGAGAGAGGTGGATTTCCCAGATCAGCCCTACTGTATCTAATACATATTTCATTGTCTGTAAAATACATACTCATGAGAATAACCAGGCTTTTTCTGGGCATTCACAACATTGTTAATGCTCCCAAGTAAGAGGAGAAAGTTGGCACCAAGCTTAGAGGTGAAATGAAGGAGCCCACAGGGAATTTTGTTCCCTTTGGGAATCCACGTAACGAAACGGTACTGAAGAATTTGGTTAAGTAGGCTGAGAGTTCAGCTGTTCTTACTGCAATCTTATCTGTCAGTGTGGAATTTTTTGCTGCCAAACGTCACCAATAAATATAAAGGTCACCAATAAACATAAAACTGCTATTCTGATGAAAAATACTAATAGTCTCACTTTCACACACAGAGATACTGCTTGGCCAAAATGTTAGCTAATACAAGTTCAGATTAGTGCCAAAGAAGCTATGCCTTATTACACCAAGTGAGAACCTGGCTGAAAACTATTTTTTTTTTTTTTTAAATATGCCCCTACGTGTCTGTGAATGACTAATTTTTCCATAAATTGTATCTCTGGGTGGGCCTCCTGCTAATCCTGCAGATTCTCACTGTGGGTTGATGATTTAGTCTGCATCACTCAATAGCTGTGTATGTCTTCTGGTCTCCAAGATACGATGGAGACTTGATGGTGAAGGCCACTGCCAAAACCTAACAAACTGCTCAAGTATGAGGGGCCTTTTCACATTTCCTTCTTTTCCTTTTTTCCATTGTGTAGTTCTAAGCCACTGGTCTCATTTCCTCTGCTAAATTGTTGCAGATCACTCAAGCTTTCACTACTTCTCTCTTGCTCACTTTTTCTCTTTTTCTTTCACCATCAGCCAACCTCACCATTTCTCATTCTCTCCCTGAGCCTCTGCTTTGTGTATTTTTTCTCTCCCAAACTGCCCTTCAGTCACCAGTGAGCTATCTGTCCATCTATTTCAGGCCTTGTTGCCCTGTCTCAGTTCACTCATACTCGCCACATTCTAGGTTTTGCATTTAAAGTCCAAGAAACGGTTAATGGGGGAGGGTTTGAATAGTGAGGTTTGTTGAGGAACATCAACCAGGAAGGCACTTGTCCTTAGTGGCTGGAGCTTATACCCAAAGCCACTGAGCTGAAGAGGAGTTTAACAGATAATAGCAAGATGGAAAGAATGCTGAGCAAAGCAAATCAGATTTAATATAAATATGAAGAAACAGCCTGTTGTGCACATGTAGGAGGACTGCAGTCTTTCTCAGAGACAACCCTTAACATTGTTTTTTCTTGAGACAGATCTGAAGTGGGAGCCATCAATGTACAACTCTAGCTTTAGTACATCTTCTGTAACTCTCTTGTTGCTTGCACATAGCCAAAGATTATAAGGCGACTTCACTGTTAAATAATACATGCATGGTTTTTAATTTCAAATTCCTTTGTGTGTGTCTCTCTCTCTTTTGCATTCTCTTGTTCTTTCCCCCCTTCTCCTTTAGGCTGTAAGAGAAAAGTTAGAGCCAGATGATGCTTTGATGTATGAAGAAGATCTGGATGACGAAGACTGTGGTGAAGCAGAATTTGAGGAAACCATGAAATTAAAACTGCTGCGTAGAATCGCCTTCCTAGCATCCAAACTGAGGGAGTTTATTGGCAACATGATAATCACCACTGGAAAAGTTATTTTTACAATTTTACAGCAGGTTGGTGTGTTTGAAAAATTTCCTCCAGAGCCCATTGGATTATACATTTAACAAATGAGTTTTCAGCGCTTTGGCACCTGCGGGAATAACAATGGAAATTTTTAAGGGAAAAGAAATCGCTGCTGATTTTATTTAAATTTACTTTTTGGCAGGAATTGGAATATGCTGAGTTGCTTAATTTTTTGTACTAATACTGTGTGGCCCTATCATTCCATATATGACTTTTACAGCTACTGTTATAACCAAATGGGGAACGGTTGCATGTAAGTGGCTGTAATGTGAATTCATAGATTTGGTTCCATCACTTCCAAGTGTAAAAAGGGACTGGATTCACACAGCCTTTAAAAGAAAAAAAAAAAAAAAAAAAAAGCAAAATAAAAGAATAATAGGTCGACTATGCAGTGTGTAAAAAGAGTGATAAGCAGGCTTCATGTTGGTTTTTGATGTGACTTTTATGTTGGTTGGTAACAGTAGCTGGTTTGATATGATATAACCAACCTTTTATAAGGCATTTGATTTAATACCACATAATCAGCTACAGACAGAATGGAAGTGCACAAAATCACTGTAGGTTGTAATGAATGAATTTAAAATTGGATCATGCAATTGTAAATTAGCATTTATCTGCCTACTCACATTTTTGAATGGAGTCCTTACATAGGAAGTATAAGTGTATACTTAATATATAAGTATACTAGTGTATGAAGTGTGAAGCAGTAGTACAAAAAATGTTTCGTATTGAATGACAAGGACTGGTCAGGTGTGGCTCTTTTAGTAAGACAGGCTCTTTCAGTAAGGTAAGATTATCGACAGCCTTACATGTAGCCACATGCAAAATAACAACTCTAAAAAAGGGGGAAAAAATAGGTTATGTGGATCACCATGGTGCCTGACATCAGGAAAGAGAGATGCCATAAAAAAACCCAAACCAAAACTGTGATAAGTATAGGCAAATAAGCATGGTTTTGGTGCCATTCTGAAGTTTCATGCTGAACATCACCCAGGGAGGATGAAGCAGAAGGATCACGCAGCAGTGGCAGGGGCAGTTTCTTGTGAGTGGTGTTGGGCAGCTCCTCTGCAGGACTCCAACACACACCGAGAGCCAGGAGGTGTTCAGAGGAGAGTTACAAAAAGGGCTAGAGGTCTGGGAAGCCTGTATTCCAGAGAGAAACCTCGAGCTTAATTAGTTATATACTTATTTACTTACTGTGCCAAGAAAAAAAAAAGGAGATTTGACTGCAGCCTGAAAGTACTGACAAAGGTACAAAGTGCCCACATTTTTTTAACAGACATCTCATCTAGTAGAACTTATAATATGAGCCAGTAGTTAAGTGGTAAACCTAGGCAATTTCAGGTCAGAAATAAATTTTGAATTTTTCACAGCCAGAGTTATTGGCCATAATAAACAACTTTTTTTATGGAAGTAGTGTGTTCTCTGTCTCCTGAAGTGTTTAAATAAAGACAGAGTATCTCTTTGAAGGAAGAAAGGAAATAGTTACAGCCGTGAGGCAGAAATTGCTGGGTGAAGTTTTACAGCCTCCATCATGAAGGTGGCCAGAATAGATGATCCCTGTGGTCCTGTCATGCTTTTAAATCTGTGAGCCTATGGAAACACCAGCAGGTTATACGCTGGAGCAGAGACAAAGCACCCTAGTCTAGAGACTTGGTCTAAAGTACAGTGTGAAAGGATGTGATGATGAAGCTCAGGCAAGATGACCATGAACAAGAGTCCTTATAGTACACATATTTTGCCTGGCATCACATGGTTGTGGCCACCCCATCTTTTGACAATTTCTGCCAATAAATTCCAGCGTGAAGCCTGGACACCCTCTCCCAAGACCCTCCCTCTCTCCTTCCCCCGTACAAGGATTTCACTCTGTAAAAGTGGTGGCTGGAAATGCACAGGGCACCATTTGGGCATGTCCCAAGTCTGTCTGGGCAGTGCTTGGACTCAGTCCAATCAGGGACTGACCCCCCCAAGAAGGCTGCCCCCGCAAAAACATGGCACGGCACTTGGCAAGGCGCAAGTCCTCCTGCAGGAGTGGCCAGCCCACCTGTAGCATCAGTGGACATACCGGAGCCATGGGCCACTGGGAGCCTGCAGCTCTGTCCTGAAGGAGGATGGCTTTTAGACACGCACTAGTGAAAACTTTAAGATAAATTGAGGCAGGCATCCCTGTTAGGTTCACCAGACTGCTATGCTGGACGTAAGCTCTCTTATGTCATTTTCTCCTGGTTTCCACTGTTAGACATGTACATCTTTCCTGCTTCCTCACTTATTTTTGCAGGCTATCCACAGAGCACCAGTTCTCCTTCACAAGTGAAATACTCTGCTACATGTGCAAGAGCAAAACCAATATACATATGTAAGACAGCAGAGTCTTTTACATATGCAAATTACAAATGCCTATGAGTTCAAAATTCAGAAAAATCAAATGTTTACTGAATATCCTCCAGACACCTTTTAGTTTCAGTATACGCATCATGTTTTTTTCATTTTTAATACTCTCTCAAGTTTTATATGAGAAGGCTTTTCACCATTCATCCATCATGTCATTTTAGCATCTTGTACTTAAAATTCATTTTAAAATCTAATATACTGGCACTATCAGGTACAGTGTCTCTGTTGGCTGGTCTTGCAGCTATGTTTCTGGTTTCTCCATGCTTTGCGAAACTTCTTTACAAAGAGAAGATGTCGTCTTGGAGGAAGGTCTGGAGAGTGGTTGTATACTAAGTGCTAAGGTATGGCACAAGTAAATTAAACAACAACAACAAAAAGGATCCTTTTCTTCTAGTCTCAAAGCTAATACTCTTAAGAGCTAATTCTAATAATTGGCATAAACATTAATTGGATTCAATTTTTTAATATACTTCTTGACAGGCTTAAGTTTTACAAAATGCTGATATTCCCACACCTTTCCAACCCTCCATGTTTTTATTTTCACAGGTATGATGGTGCCATCTTTGACCTCAGCTGTGTATTTCTTTGTATTTTTGGGCCTGTGCACGTGGTGGTCCTGTTGCCAAGCATTTGATCCGCTGATATTCAGCTGTCTGTGTGTATTAATGGCGATATTCAGTGCAGGCCACTTGATTGGACTTTATCTGTACCAGCTACAGTTCTTTCAGGAGGTTGTTCCACCAAAAGATTTCTATGCCAGGTGAGAGAAAATCCTTTCCTGTTTAATTGTGGGCATATGATGCAATGATTTGTTATCACATCTTGATGGAAGTGGTCTTCCATAAAGCTTTGCCAAATTTTATGCATAGCTTCGTGTTTAGTCTTGGAAGAGTCAAAGCATTTCAGACTCAATGGGTTTGGATGATAGGGAGAAGTCCTGTCCAGGCAATTGTGTACAGAGAGCTAGGGCAGGTTAGGAGGGGAAGGTGATTTTTGTTTTGTTCAGAGTGATCCTCAGATGTGAGAATGATTTGGCTGAGACAGGAGATAAGGGAAATCAGTGGCAGTGTTGAGGCAAAGGCAGTGTACACAATGCATATTTTTGGTAAAGAAAAAGAAATGTTCTGAGGTCTAAAGCCATAGTGTCTTAACTGGGGCAAAATGCATGTGTGGTGCCATCCTTGTGTGCAGAGACTGAGGGCAGCTGGGGTATTTCACCTGCTGTGCCTGATGCTAGTCTGTTAATACGAAAATTCTCTGTGGTCATGCAGAACATGCCAGTTGTATGTTCATACCATCATAGCTACATCACTTTAGTCAAAAAGCAGCATTTCTAATTACTGCTGCAGTAAATATTGATTGGATGTGATTTATACCTTTAATTTTTTTACATGCTTTTATACTGCAATCTAATATAAGGTGAAGTAATGGATGTATTTTACTCATTGCTACTTTTTTTTCCTGCTGGATTATGAAGGCAGATTGTTTTTCTGGTATGTATTTTTAGTGTCGTAGTAAACCTTACATTAAACTAAATGTAAACCTTAACTTTACTTTTGGTAAGCCTACTGTTCCTTTTAAGTATTGTAAGTTGAAGGTGCAAGGATATTAGGTTTACTGAGGAGAATCAATTAATGATTTATATCTTGATGCACCATTAAAAGTAGTAAAAAATGAGCTGCCTAGCTAAAGTAGCTGGTACATTAACACTTGTTTTGACATTTTATTTAGTGCAGGTTAATACATGTGTGTTTTGTGATGCTGGAACTGCTAACTTTGAGGATGCTGATTGGGAGGGCCTAACATTACCTGAAAAGTTGGGAAAGATCTGCTTAGTTTAGGTTCTTTTGTGCCACCTAGAGGTCAAAGTAGGAGAATGGATGATTTCTAGTACTAAGTAGCTAAAACGCTCACAACTTTCCCAAAGCCTTTACATTACTCTCTCCGTGTATTAAGAAAAGAAAAAAAACATGGCTTCAAAATTCTCAACTGTTTGGCTATGAGGGTATAATCTCATAATGTTTTACCACCAGACAGCAGCAACATTTTCTCAAGGAGGGAAAGTATGTGTTTCATAACATTTTGCTAGAAAATGTGGAACTCTTCATATGCATAATTTGTAAAAGCCCTTTTTTTCTTTTAAATATTTTTATTACTAATTTTCAATTACTTTTAATGTACTTTAATTTTCAATTAATTTAGTCTCAAACTTATTTCCTGCATTAACTTATTTTTTGGTAAATAGTGTAATTCTACATTTTATGATAAAATTTTATTAAATACAAATGTGCCACTTAGTCACTAATTTTTGCAATGAAAAAGTCTGATTGCAAGTAAGTTGCCTCTGCCTCGCTGTAGAAAAAAAAAAAAGCACCTTCAGAGTTCAGATTAAAAAAAGTCCCAGTGTTGGACTTTGAGTGTGTACCGACCTTTTTGTAAGCAGAAAATGATGTTGTCTTACCGAAGACTTTCTCTTGAACTGGTACTGTTTGGTACTCTGCCTTTTACACATGATTTCAAGTGAGGGACTCGTTCTAAATTACATAGGAAATTATGTTTGAATATACAAAACACTGATGACAACAGAAGGTGCAGTAAATATATGTTCCTTGTTTCATTAGTCGCAGTTCTTTCTGCTGTGGATTTACTTCAATCTACTTTCAGGGAGATGTATTTGAAGAGCATCAAAACAGGTATTATCAGTGCTTGGAAGTGCAAATCTGAGCATGAGGAAAAGACACTAATGTGATTTTTAATGATTGGAGTAGGAGTGGTGTGTAAGCAGTGGATAGAGGAAGAAAATGAAAGACATGTACTGGAATGGTGCAGAAGAAGTATTTTAGCATTTTTCATCCTAGAAGAAATGTGATACCTTGCTGTTTTATGTACCATCTTTGTTTGAAGCAGAGCTAAATATGCAGAGTTGCCATTAATCATAGCGGGTGGCTTTCATGGGTAAATTATATACTGAGAGAAGAATCTGATTCCCCAAATTCTTCTCTGCTATTGTCACCCAGAATATGCTGTTTAATGTCTTTTTACAAGAGGAGAACAGCAGATCATTATCATACTTAGTTGTCTGAACTCTCCTTAGTTGCAATAAACTCACTGCGTGAAAAAAAATACCACAGGCACATGTATTTGCATGTGTTAACTTTGGTGCCGTTACAGACTTTTATCCATATATGAAGGGCAGCTGAAACAAAAGGAAGAAGGGCGTTTATTTCTCTGTAAAGTTTTGAGGGCTCGATGCCCAGCTTAAGCCCTCCTCAGATGCAAGGGCAGATGTGAGACCTACTCTTGTAGATCTTGTGGATCTGATTTCTCTCTGCAGAGCCTAATTTTAAAAAGCTGCTAAAATTGGTGTCTCTGAGTTTGAGTTCTCAAGTTGACAAGAAATGTGCAGGTTGTTTCTGATCAATAAAAAATCTGTTGTCTCTGAATAGCAGTGCATCCAGCTTGCCACTGTATCGATTGATTTCAGACTAAATGAAGTTAAACTATACCCAAACAAGCTGGAAAGTTTACAAGTTAACAGTATCTTTCAGCTAAGACTTGCCTCATCCTTGTGCTGCTCCTTCCTTTTAAGAACATTTGAACTCAAAATTCAGCACTTGTGATTGTAAGAGGTGACTGAACAGTGTCACCAGAAGAAAGCAGCTTTCTTGAAAGGGATAGTCTGAAATCTGGGGAATTTAAATATTTTGCCCTGAAACTCCCTATATGAAAAAAAAAAAAAAATACAGCTGGTACATGTATTTGCATGTGTAACTTTAGTGCCATTACAAACAGACCTTAATCCGTACCTGAAGGGGAACTGAAACAGAAGCAAGCCATTTTCATGAAAGGGATAGTCTGAAATCTGGTGAATTTACATATTTTGCCCTGAAACCTTACAGCATTCTGCAAGCAAAGTACTTCCCCCCCAAGATAAGATACTGTGATAACCAAGCCCTGTGTATTTGCTGTAGTGCTATTAGCAAACATGAAGGCACCGATCTCCTGCGATGTCTCAGATCTACTGTTGAGACTTTCTGGTTCTACAATGTGCAGATCCAAGTGGCAGGAACACAAACACCCACTTAAATGCCATCCAGTGTGCACTAGGATCTGCAGATTGAAAAATGTATAGGGTACTGGAAAGCCTGAAGTATAGCTGCTGTCCTGGGGGTGGCCAGCCCGCAGTGGAGCAGTGAGCGGCAGTCATTCAAGGCAGTGCCCTATCTGCCTCAGAAAGCGTGGTCCTAAATGGCGCAGAAGGACCAGCATAAATAAGGCTGAATCTACCCTTCAGTTAGGAGTTACCTGGTTGCATAAATTAATGCTGGTTCATTACCAACTGATCTCTGCCAAATAAAATGTCCACACTCATTTATAACTTCGTTTAAAATAGGTATCTTCTGTGTTGACTTGCAGCCGTATGGCATGGAAGCTATTTACAGAGATGGGAAAACAATAGCAAGAAGTATCCTTTTATAGCAAATTTCAGAAAATGTCATAGTTCTGCCATAAAATTCTTTTCACCTGAGTTAACAAAAACAAGTCAATGAGCTAAAATTATTTTAGAAATTATGTGCACAGTGCCACAGCCTGAAAAAATCTGCAATATGTTTGCCATTTTTCAGATTGCTGCCTCCTTTCTTCCTGATGTTGTTTATTTTGGCAAAAGGATGTAATTTGGGCAATGATAAGGCCTTGCCAACATGAATAAATAGGATCAGTGGAGCAGTATAAAGTTTATCCTGAGTCAGTAACGTTATTCCTGTCCAAAACTGTGCTTGTAAGCTTATTCATTTAAAGATCCAGTAATCTGATGGAAACCTATGCGCTTCCTTAGAGTTTTAGGTCTGTCTTGTATTGCTTGTAGTTTTCAAGCAAGTGATGTTCAAAATAGTTTAAATACAAATGGTTTCATCTATGGGAAGGCATCACCCTTAAAAAGTGAGGCAAACCTAGGAGTCCAGGGAGTGTCACCCACTTCACAGTGGTGCGTTATTTCACATCTTTAAGTGAATGGGAGTTTGGAATTACACAACTGATTGCTGTGTTGCAATCTGAGTGGAGAAGTCTAATCCAAGACTGTCTTTTCAATGGGAAATTATCATCTGAAAGATGCCTATAAATCTCCTTAAGCAGGACTTTTAAAATAGTTTTTACAGTGATTGGTAATAAGCTTGCTTAAATGACTCTCTTATTTTTGGAGGGAGTGTTATATTGATATTTGCTACAGATGGTAGATTCAGAATATCTAGTTTGTTTTCAGATCTATTTGGGTCCAGTCCAAAGTCCTCCATTTCAACTTCCCTGAAAGCTTTGATCTACATTCAGAATTTGTAGCCCAAATACTCTGTTTATCTAGGGTAGTAAATGAATAAATGCTTAAGCACAGTCTCAAAAATATTTCTGGAGTTGTCAGATCTGGGTGGGATATCCACATGTAATTTTTTTTTTTCTAAATTACAGGCTAAGTGTGCTAATAAAATCTCGGCAGGAGAGCAGATATTGCCAAAATAGCAAGATGTAGCTGATCGATTACCTTGTTGGCAAGCGTCTTGCCTCTCTGCAGGGCAAGGCACTGATCTGCTGCTTTTGTAGCTCCACCGGAGCCAAGAACTGGGCAAAATGTTTCACCTGAGCTGCAGCCACCATTAGTCCTTGCTAGAGACTGGCTTTGGCACCTCTCTCAAAGGTGGCTCACCTCTGAGAGCCAGAATATTCTTACCCCTGTGTGAATTTCTGAGGTTTTCAGTTACCTCGTAA